GCCCTATTGCTCTGCTTTATAATAACGCCATTAAGAGGCTTTATTAGCCCACGGCTTGGACAGGAGCACTCTTTGCTGGGTTAAGAACTGGCTGGATGGCCGGGCCCAGAGAGTGGTGGTGAATGGTGCTGCATCCAGCTGGCAGCCAGGCACCAGTGGTGTCCTTCAGGGGTCTGTGCTGGGGCCAGTTCTGTTCAATATCTTTATTGATGACATGGATGAGGGGATTGAGTCTTTCATTAGTAAATTTACAGACGACACTAAGCTGGGAGTGTATGTCGATCTGTTGGAAGGTAGGATGGCTCTGCAGAGAAATCTGGAATGGTTCGATAGATGGGCAGAGTCTAACAGGATGAAGTTTAATAAATCCAAGTGCCGAGTCCTGTTTTTTGGCCACAATAACCCCCTACAACATTATAGGCTCGGGGCAGTGTGGTTGGACAGTGCCCAGGCAGAAAGGGACCTGGGAGTACTGGCTGACAGCTGGCTGAACATGAGCCAGCAGTGTGATCTGGCAGCCAAGAAGGCCAACGGCATCCTGGCCTATATCTGGAATAGTGTGGCCAGCAGGACCAGGGAGGTCATCCTTCCCCTGTGCTCGGCACTGGTGAGGCCGCACCTTGAGTACTGTGTCCAGTTCTGGGCCCTTCGGTTTGGGAAGGACGTTGGGACACTTGAGCACATCCAGAGGAGGGCAACGAGCCTGGTGAGGGAATTGGAACACAAGTCCTATGAGGAACGGCTGAGGGAGCTGGGGTTGTTTAGCTTGGAGAAAAGGAGACTCAGAGGCAACCGTATCACTCTCTACAACTTCCTGAAGGGTCGTTGTAGTCAGGTGGGGGTTGGTCTCTTTCTCCAGGCAGCAACTGACAGAACGAGAGGTCACAGTCTCAAGCTGCGTCAAGAGAAATATAGGTTAGATATTAGGAAAAAGTTTTTCACGCAAAGGGTGATAAAGTTCTGGAATGGTCTGCCCGGGGACGTGGTGGAGTCACCATCCCTGGATGTGTTTAATAAAAGACTGGATGTGGCACTCAGTGCCATGGTTTAATTGAGATGTTGGGGAATGGGTTAGACTCGATGATCTTGAAGGTCTCTTCCAACCTGGTCATTCTGTGAATTCTGTGGAGATATTACCACAAAATAAATCAGTCTGTCAGGGTTTAGCCCAAAGTATGACCAGAAAGATCACCAGTTAATTGGGTCCATTAAGGCTGAAATTAAAGAAAGTCAATGGGCTGTTACACCAGTGGGACAGGTTGTAGTCCCACCCCTGCTTCTTTGGTAGATAGCTCACAGGAACCTGAAGGTACCCATTGGTAAACAGAAAATCTTCTGAAGCATCTGAAAAAGGTAGTAATGGGAAGGGGAATGACTGAAATTGTGCAGTCTATAGTGACCAAATATGAAATCTGCCATCAAAATAATCCTGATACGAGTAAAAGTGTAGTGCTAGGGGTGACAAAGGCCGAAGACCTTCTCGATGAATATTGGCAGGAGAATTTTTCTGAGTTACTACATAATGAAGAATTCAGGTATGTACTGATGTTAGTTGACACCTTCAGTGGATGGCCTGAAGCTCACCCTGTCATACTAACACAGCAAAAGAAGTGGTAGAAGTCTTGCTCAATCATATAATTCCAAGGTTTGGGGTTCCTTTGGAGTTGTCATCAGATAGAGGGCCACACTTTGTTGCAACAGTAATGGGGGAGGTTAGTCAAATTCTGGGAATTGCTTGGCATCTGCCTACACCCTACAGACCCCAGGTGAGTGGTGAAGTTGAACATATGAATGGAACCCTCAAAACACAGATTAGCAAAATTTCTCAAGAGACATCTGGGACATGGGTTCAGGCTTTGCTTATAGTCTTACTGAGATTTCACATACAATCAAGGCAGAGGGGCAACTTAAGTCCTTATGAGATATTATATGGCAGGCCATATAGAATTCTGCATATCCCCAGAGAAATCCATATGAGAGGGAAAATGGACTAACAAAAGTATTTAATGGCTTTAAGCTCCACTTTGCAGAATCTCCAGAGATTTGATGTGTTATCCAGACCTGTAGGACTGGACACACCTGCTCATCTGTTCCAGGCTGGAGACTGGATCTATGTTAAATGGTGGGACAGTGACCCCCTGCAAGTTAAGTGGAGAGGATCGTTCCAAGTCCTGCTGACTACCCTTACTTCAGACAAAGTTGCTGGCAAGGGACCCTGGATTCACTACTCTGGAGTTAAAAAGGTTTCTGCTCCTGAAATAACTGGAAAAACAGAGACAGATACAGATGATGATATGGTTTAAACTGTTCTTTTGTGTCTGTTATCTACACCGTTGGTAACCATGACTCAGGTTTGGTCCCAAAATTTGCAAAGCAGAATGGCTCTCAATTTCCTACTAGCCTCACAAGGGGGCATGTGTACAGTCATTAATACTAGTGTTGTGCTTATGTAGATCAGAGAAGAAGGATTAACAAATATTTGGCTAAAATCTGGAGACAAATTTTACATCAGGTAACTCTCACAGATCTTTCATACACTTACTTCATGGTTACCAAATTTGGCTTGGATAAAACAACTATTCATACTGGCTATATTTGTAGTTGGTGTCTGCATAATAGCTGGCTGTATGATTCGATGCTGTGATTTCTGGTCATCTTTATGGTCTAACATCAAATCTAAGTGGTAGAGACTAAACAATGTGGAATTTTTGTCAAGTATCTAAAGGGGGGAATGATGCTAAAAGATTTTTAGCTCTTATGTATTCTTCATGTATTTGTAGCTTTGTAGACTGTTAATGCATGGTTGTAACTTCTAGTACTTTTCCAGCTCTCTTTCCCACTGCAAACAAACCCTTATTGATACATTCTTGAAATTCTGTTAAGTCTTATTTGTTATTTTAGCAAGGACATTTTTTTTGCACCATGTATCATAGACATAATAAAGGTAGAGTTAGAGGATCAGGAGGGAGGGATCCAATGGGGCAGAACCTGGGGGGGGAGATTACCTAACCAACTGCTCTTCTAATTGCACAATATTTGCTAGATATACTAATTGCCCATTCTTATAAAATTGTACAATTCTAATTCCAGGCATGGTTTTTTGCTGTATTGTGTACCTGAAGGCTTTCAAGTAAAGGTTTGCTTTTATATTATCATTTTAATGTTGTTTGGGAAGGTTTTGTTCTATTTCCAGGCAACACTGCAAGGCACCATTTTAGGCCCAGTTGTCTTCAACATCTTCATAAACAACTTAAATGTAGGACTTGAAGCTATATTGAGTAAGTTTGCTGATGACACTAAATTGGCAGGAGCTGTTGACTGCTTCAAAAGCAGAGAGGCCCTGCAGAGAGACCTTGATAAATTAGAAGGCTGGGCAATCATCAGCTGTATGAAGTTTAACAAGGTCAAGTGTCAGATTCTGCACCTGGAATGGGGAAACTCTGGATATATGGACAGACTGGGGAACAAGAGGCTGGAGAGCAGCTCTGAGGAAAGGTACCTGTGGGTCCTGGTTGATGGCAAGTTGAATATGAGAACAGTGTGCCCTGGAGCCACAAGGATCAACCATATCCTGGGGTGCATCAGCCAAAGCATTGCCAGCTGCTTGAGGGAGGTGATTTTCCTGCTCTACTCTGCACTGGTGTGGCCTCACCTCAAGGCCTGTGTGCAGTTTTGAGCACAAACATCACACTATAAGAAGGACTAGTGATAGGCCCTGAGGAAACAGCTGGAGCAGTGTCAGAGGAGGTTTAGATTGGATATTAGGAAAAGGCTCTTTACCCAGAGGGTAGTTGGGCACTGGAACAGGCTTCCCAAGGAAGTGGTCATAGCCCCAAGCCTGAGAGAGTTCAAGAAGTGTTTGCACAATATTCTCAGGCATGTGGTGTGACTCTTGGGGCAGTCCTGTGCATGGTTAGGAGTTGGACTCAATGATCCTTGTAGGTCACTTCCAACTCAGGCTATTCTATGATTCTATGATACTCCTGAATCAAGGGTTTAAAAAAACTGAAAGAGTTAAGAGTTTACCTAGATTTAGTTAAGGGGATAGAAACAATTTATAATGATTAAGAGTATAACAAGAAGAGTAAAAGTAATGGGGAATAGTTAATTATTAGCAGATGGAGTGGTTAAGGCTAGGGTAATATATCACTGGCTTGTTCTTACTGTGTTTGAAGAAGCAGGATGAGAATGCAGACTTAATTGTGAAAAAGAAGAGGACTGTGACTGCACCTGTGCCCCAAAACCAGCTAGGACCAGGTTGGGGGGCTTGGACTATCGCCCAGGGGTCAGAAAGCCTGCCAACACACAAAGGTGAAATGGTCACCTTGAGGAAGATGTTTATTACCTCAAAGGGACCACCAACCCATTTTAAGCCCACCAACTTAAATTAATCAACAGACTGTGCAGATGTGAAGGAACTTTGGACTCATTATAATGCATTTTAATATGAAGCAGGGGTAGGCAGGGTTAGGTAATATGTATAGGCATTCCAGGAAATTATATGAATATATAAGACTTTTTTTGATAAATAAGGGAGCCGGAGCCTTGTGATTTTGGACACGTCTTTGGGAGGCTACTCCCCGTGTGCCCAGTGCTGTCAATAAACATACCACTTTCTAATTTTAACTAGTTGGAGAGTTCTATTCTGCGCTTCACTCCAAACTTCCACTCTCCCTCATTTCCAATTATAGAGAAAGGCCATTATATCTTCAGGGTGCAGTGCTGATTTACTTCAGAGTCAGCAGAAGACACCTCTTCCACAGAGTAGAGATGTCCTCTGACACTTCCATCTAGATCATTTCTGTACCAAGTTAAGTCAAAAGCAAGTAATTTATATTTGATTAAAGGCTAAAATTAGCAAAAGACTACTCTAGAGGACAGGGTGATGAACTTTTTTGCATGCTATCTCCACAAAAATCTAACAGTATAATTTCTAGCGATACCAGATAATTAGCTTTATTTGGGAGGGAAAAAGCAAATACATGATGTTCAAGGCTTACCACTAAGCAGTTCAATCCAATTTTGTACTGTTTCAGGAGGTTGGGTCTCTTTAATGTGTTTCAGAGCTTCATCAAGCAGAACATCCCCTGTAGGAGCATCTGACTTGCAAATTACCTAGGATAGAATAAAATGCAGTTGGTATTTTTACTTAATTCATATACCATACCATAAACAACTAACAATAAAAACTTGAAAAATCTACCTGTTATCAGAACCAAGGAAAATTTTAAGGAGTGAGGAATGTTCTCAAAGAATATACAAATTTAAAAGATATCTAGTTGTTAGAAAAACTATTTAGGATTTTAATTACGAAGCTCTGTTATGTCTTAAGTTATCTATAACCTCTATTAACCTTAATTGACCAGAGCTGTAGTATTAATAACATGTTTAATACCTAATCTTTTAAGGAAGATAATCAACTAACATGGCCAGGTCCTTCATTTTCTCCCCAAAACAAAGTATACTACTGTGCTAAATTGCTCTCTGATAACCGTCCATTTTACTGCTTCAAGTCAATTTATTCAGAATAGTGCAGATAGACAATTATGAGTCAAGGGGTCAGCTAGAAATGTAATTAGGATAATTGAAAACTGAAGATGAGTCGAGGGGCCAGCTGGGAATATAATTGGGATAGTAGAAGATTAAATATTTTAGTTAAGATTTTAAAATTAGTTAACAAGTTAAGTTAGTAATATAGCTAACAAGAATCAGGTACCTTAGTTAAAGAATAACAAATATATTAAGAAAGAGAAACTAGGAGTGACAGGGATAGATGCAACAATTGTGAGGGAGCAGAAACTATAGAAATACCTTACCTCAAGAATAATCAAACAGTTAGGAGAGGCTTGGACTGTGACCAGCAGGTCAAAAAGTCCTGCCAACTAGCCATAGGTAAAGAGCTCACCATGAGGAAGATGGCTTTCTTCCTCCCATATGACCACTCCTTTATTTCAAAATCCCACCGACCCAATTAAGGGAGTAAAATTGTGCAGCTGTATTAGGTATTCAGGGTATTCAGCTAATTATAATATGAAGCAGGCAGGTAATGATTATGTATTATGCGTCCTTAGAAACCGTGTGAATATGTAAAACGTTTTCTGTATAAATAGAGAGCAAGAGTTTGCAACTCCTTGTGCATGTCTTTGGAAACAATTCCACATGCATCCAGCGCTGTAATAAATACCCTTCTTTTCAACTTTAATTAGTTGAAGAGTCATCTGTCTGTGCTTCGATTAGGTCATGTGAAATTGATAAATCAATTAGAAAGTGAAAAGGCAGGAAAAATGCTTTTCTTCTTCTGTATGTTGATGGATAAAATAGGTTCAAGACAACATCTATCAGTTTTACAGCTCTGAAGAACATTTTAACCAGCAACACTAAGTTCCATTCACTAACAGTTCAAATACACATATTAGGCAAAATATGTATGTACCAATATGTTGCATTGCAAGCTGATCTGTAGTTAACATTAATTTGGTTATAAATAAGAGGTCTAGCCCAGCTTGGTGGACTAGCCTCTGGGCTGACTGACAGAGTCTTTGGCCAGTGGCAGCTCTCCTGACATGCAGGCATTTGATTGGTTCAGAGTCTGAGGGCACACAGAGACAGGCCAATGTCTGTGTAGCACCGGGAGTTTTGAATTGTCTATAAAAGGGTGTTGGATTCAATAAACAAGGCTGTTTGTCTGAGGAAACATGAGTGGTCTGTCTTAAGTCTCAGACACAGGAACACCAACATGTCACCAATAAACCCCTTAATATGCAGTCATAAATGAAACGTCACTTAAGTTTGTTATTAAATAACTTTGAAAATTATTTTTTCCCCAAGAGAGCACAGGAGAGAGAGAAAAAAATTAATTTACAGTACCATAATAAATTTTAAATGTGAGTAACTGCTTGTTTACCAGTATAAGTAGTTGCATGATGCTAGCCACTGGAGTATAAACACTAACTGCAACAGCTGTATAAACCATGTACACATACCCCTTTTTCTCTGGTTAGAAAAACAAGAATGCCAAACTAAAACATACAGATTTAACTAGTAATCCAAGTCACAGAATCACAGAATGGGTAAGGTTGGAAAGGACCTCAGTGGTTTCATCTCATCCAACCTCCCTGCTCAATCAGGGTCATCCCAGAGCATATGGCACAGGAGTGTGTCCAGATGGTTCTTGAATATCTCCAGTGATTGAGACTCCACACCTTCTCTGGTTTCTCTTCCAGTCCTCAGTCACCCACACAGGAAAGAAGTTCTTCCTCATATTCAGGTGAATCAGTTTTTGCCCGTTGACTCTTGTCCTATTGGTTGCCACCACTGAGAAGTAATAGCTCCTAAATCTATGGGGTTTACTACAGAGAAGTGCCTGGCTGCATCCTCTGACACCCTCCCTTCAGATAATGATAGACATTGATAAGATTACCTCTCAGTTGTCTCAATGCTGAACAGGCCCAATTATCTCAGTCCATCCTCTTAAGAGAGATGCTTCAGTCCCCTCATCATCTTTCTCACCCTCTACTAGACCTGCTCCAGGAACTCCATCTCTCTGTTGCACTGAGGAGCCCAGAACTGGACTCAGCACTCCAGATGTGCCTCACCAGGGCTGAGGGGCAGGATCACCTCCTTCAACCTGCTGACAATGCTCTTCCTAATGCACCCCAGGATACCATTGGCCTTCTTGGCCACAAGGGCAAATTCCTGGCTCACGGACAGCTTGTTGTCCACCAGGACCCCCAGGTCCTTCTCTGCAGCTCTGCTTTCCAGCAGGTCACCCTCAGCCTGTACTGTGTGGTAATCACATATCCTCTGAACAGAGAGAGACATAATTCTCTCCCAGGATTTTCCTGGGAAGCTGTGAGAAGCTGTGAGGAAGCTCAGAGCAAACAATTCTTATCTCCATTTGCTGCACCTGTTGTTGTGCACATGTGGAATGTGTTATGGAGATTGTTTACCAAAGGGTGGTTTCTTAATTGGACTCTGGTGATGGTGTTTTGATTGATTGACCAATTAGGTCAAAGCTGTATGGGACTGTCTGGCAAGGGCAATGGGTTTTTCCTAATAGTATAATATAATATAGTGTAGTACAATAAAGCAATGGATCAGCCTTCTGCAATCATGGAGTCAATGCTCATTATTCCCCGTTTAGGGGCCTGCTGCCACTATAGTACTAGTGCATGAAGTTATTCTTCTCCAGGTGCACAACCCTGCACTTGCCTTTGTTGAATTTCAGATGGTTCCTCTCTGCCCATCTCTCCAACCTGTCAAGGTCCTTCTGAAGGTCAGCACAGCGCTCTGGAGTATCGGCCACTCCTCCCAGCTTTGTGTCATCAGCAAACTTGCTGAGGAGGCATCTGACCCTTTGTCCAAGTCATTGGCGGATAAGTTAAACAATATAGAACCAGTATAGAACCTTGGGGGATACCACCATTGACAGCCTTCCAACTACACCCCGTGCCACTGATCATGGTGCTCTGGGATCTGTTGTTCAGACTTCTCAATACACCTTACTGTCCACTCATCCAGTCCACACTTCCTGAGTCTGCCTATGAGTATGTTATGAGAGACAGTGTTGAAAGCTTTGCTGAAGTCCAGGTAGACAATATCCACTGCTCTCCCATCATCCATCCAAGAAATTGTTTCATCATAGAAAGCAATCAGGCTGTTGAAGTATGATTTACTGTTAGTGAATCCATGCTGACTACTCCTGATCACCTTCTTGTTGTCCATGTGGATATGTGAATAGAGATGGCCTCTGAATGAGATGCTCCATCAGCTTTCTGGACATTGAGGTGAGGCTGACTGGCTGGTAGTTCCCCGGGTCCTCCTTCTTGACCTTTTTGAAGACTGGAGTGACATTTGCTTTCTTCCAGTCTTCAGGCACCTTTCCTGATCTCCACAGCCTTTCAAAGATGATTGAGAGTGGCCTAGCAATGATGTCTGACAGCTCTCTTAGTACTTATGGGCACATCCCATCAGGGCCCATGGACTTGTGAATTTCAAGTTTGCCTAGGTGTTCTCTAACCCAATCCTCCTTGACTAAGGGAAAGTTGTCTTTCCAGAATTCCTTAACTCTGGTCTTCTGTGTCAGAGATCCCCGAGGGTTGATCTTGTCAGTGAAGACCAATGTAAAGAAGACATTCAGTAACTCTGTCTTCTCTGCATTCTCTGTCACTAGGGTCCCCCTCCATTTAGGAATGGCCCCACATTATCCTTTGTTTTCCTTTTGTTATTAAAAAAGCCCTTCTTGTTGTCCATGACATCCATGGTAAGATTTAATTCCAGATGGTCCTTGGCCTTCCTTGTCTCATTTGTACCTTCTCTGACAACCTTTACATATTAATTCCAAATGGTCTGACCCTGTTTCCACCTCCTGTGTACTTCCTGCTTATGCCTGAGTTCTTTATTCATCCATGAAGGTCTCTTGCCCCCTTTGCCCAATTCCTTGCTCATTGGGATGCACTGTTCTTGAGCCTGGAGGAAGTGATTCTTGAATATCAACCAATTCTCTTGGACCTCTCTTCCCTGCAGGGCCTGTTCCTATGGGATTCTTCCAAGAAGATTCCAGAAGAGGCTAAAGTTAGCTCTCCTGAAGTCCTTGGTTGTAATGTTACTTACTACTTTGCTTCCTCTTCTCCTGATACTCAACTCCACAATCTCATGGTCACTAGAGCCAAGGCTTCCCCCAACCTTCACATCTCCAAAAAGGCCTTCCCTGTTTGTTAGTTTAAGGTCAAGCAGCATGCCTTTCCTTGTGGGATTCTCTACTACCTGTGACAGGAAGTTGTCATCAATGCTTTCCAGGAACCTCCTGGACTCTTTGTGCTTCACTGTGTTGCTTCTCCAGCAGATGTCAGGGTAGTTCAAGTCCCCCACAAGAACCAGGACCTGTGACTGTGAGGTTGCTTCAAGCTGCCTGCAGAAGGCCTCATCCACTTCTTCCTCCTGCTCAGGCAGCCTGTAGCACACGCCCACAACAGTGTCACCCTTGCTAGTCTGCCCTTTTATCCTAAGCTATAAGCTCTCCCCCCACTCGTTATCCACCCCAAGACAGAGCTCAAAACATTCCAAGTGTTGCCTCACATAGAGGGCAACTCCACCACCACACCTTCCTGATCTGT